TCGACGTTCGTGTCGATGCGGACTGGGCAGGATGCCCTACTTCCAGCAAACCCACTTCAGGTTTCAACATTCACTTCCTTGGGACAACGGCTGCGTTGGAACAATAGCTGCGTGTGGCTACATGTATCATCAACTACTTGTAATGTCACTTGCGTTGGCGGCGTCAGTCAGCACTACATTTTTGTTGTTTGCTTTCATGTCTGCCCGCTTTTCTGCAAGCCACTACCTCAATGTCAAGCTCCATAGTCTTGAGACATCGAAGTATGGTCTTCTTGTTTACCAGGTTCTTGGATGTTTGGGATTGCTCTTGCTGGTCGTGTTTCCGGCTTGCTCCCGAATCATCGTCTCTTCCACGCCCGCTGTTGTAATTCTAGCTGCTTCAGTTGGTCCACGAACCCCAAGCAGTGGACCACAATGTTGACCGGTTTCTTGGAGGCCTTTCCAAATCGGAATCCTTCTGGTCGTCCCTGGAAGATCAGGCTCCTGGCGTTAGCCACGCCTTTCCAGAAGGCTATGATTCTTCCTGTTTCTTCCAGCGTTGAGCCCGTAGTAGAATGCAGCAGAAAGAGACAGAAGACTGTTGGTGATCTCTTCGGCGTGGGCTCCTCGTCGCTGTCCAGTTCTGATGCAACATTCCCCAACGCCCATCTTCTGGTTCAGGCTTATCAACGTCGAGGCAGGCGATCATCTTTCTTATGGGAATCTTGTCCTCGGTGACCGCGATCTTGCCCGCGGATTCTTGGACACCTTGCGCGCCATCAACTCATGATCGCGGCTTCCCGGTCTGAAGATGGCCAGTGACGTCTACGAAACGTCTATGTGTCCTTCCATATTGGTGTCGCTGACATCCCGGAGCCACGTATCCTTCCTGGAGAACTGCTTGAAGTTCTTTGTCATTTGTCGCGTGAGCCAACTTGCTGGCATGAGAATCTTCTCCGCCAAACGGGTCATCGGATGCCACGGTAAGGACCTGAAGGCTTTGACATTGACCTGCTCTTCAGTTTTCCTTCCAAGACTTTTCTTATGTATATGAGTCCCTTATCATCCTTGTCCTTTGAGGAGCTGCTCTGGTTCTTGGACCGAGTAGTCGTTGGAGGTTCCTTTCGTTCTCGACCCCAGATATCTGGCGCTTCGTCATGAGAGCCTTGTCGGCCGCGCGGCGTCTGACCGTGGGTTGATATCTCGCATCTCTTTGCTTTCCGCGGCTCCTTTTCGCGAAGTTTCCCCTTGTTCCACCTTGCAGAGTTTGGTGGCGGAGGACTTTTTGGTTCATCTGTATACGTTATCGCCATAGCTGACCTTGCCTTGCACGCATCGAATATAGCTGCAAGAATCATCAGTCCTCTGCGCCCAACATCTTGGTTTGCTCCTTGAGGATAGTGTCCAATCTAAAACTGCCATCTGATTCTCTCAAGTCGTTTGCGTTTGGAACTTGAACCTGGTTCGTGTCGCAGTGTGGCTGTGCGTACTCTGAAGAACAAGAACCAATTGCACGGTTGTCCATAGCCTACAGCTCCTGCACAGAACGATGTGTCTGTGACGTGTCGGCTTCTCCAATGTGATTGAATACTGTGTGGGGACAATCTGCGTGTGCCGATTGGATTGCTCGGATCATGATCAGGGCGTCGTTGATGGATGTTTTGTAGTCGCCATGGTTGTTGAGGATATTGTATCTGTCCCCAACATGTTGCATGTTGCCACATCTTGAAGAAGTCAACAGCGTGAATGCCCTGACTGCGGTCGTGATGATCGTCGCAGGAACTCATTTAAAATGTGGCCGGCCTGTATTTATGACATGAAGCAGTGATCTCCTTCACAATATAGGAAGCTGCATATGATTCAAAAGGATGCATTTTTCTGGGGCCAAGTTCTTCGTCTTCCTGATCTTGAGGTGGATCTTCTTAAGAAGGATTGACAGAAGTGATGAAAACATAGCTGTTCATCAATGCTATTGCAGTGACACCTGGTCGCCCACTGTTCAGGCCCAGTAGTGGCGAGGTTGGTGTAGTGCAAAACGGTGTAGTTCTCAAGGAACATCATGTAGTGTGCTCCCGAAAGTAGTTGCGCTGTAGTACCTTCATGTCCTCCAGCGCTTGGCGTGTAGTTGCGTCGTGGATGTAGTTGAGTAGTTCTTGACCCGACCTCTTGTTGTAGTGCTTGATAGTAGTTGCCTCAAAGTTCGAAGTAGTAGTCTGTGTAGTTCTTCTGAACAATGTGCGGTTGTCAAAAGGTAGTGGCCGTAGTGTTCTGTTGTGTTGTTGAGAATGCATGTTGTAATTCTCAACTGTGTTGTCGTTGTTGTGTAGTGTGTAGAGGTGTAGTAGTTGCGGGGTGTTGATCAACAAAAGGTAGTGCCAAATGTAGCCTTTGGACAGGGAGTAGCGCAGTGTGTGAACGCGCGCAGAACGCGTTGAAGTTGAAGTTTGGTAGTACTTGGGCCGAAGGTTGGTTGTAGCTGCTCACGACGGATGTAGAATGGTTGGCGTGTTCATGGATGAAGTAATCCAAGGAGTTGTCAATGCGTAGTTGCTGGATGTAGTCTGCGGGCAGTGCTGCTGTGACAAGCGCGTAGTCGTTGATGTGGTTTGTAGTTGGGTGGCGTTCTGAAATGCTGTGGAAATGCCAAAGATGCGCATCTGACGCAGCATGCATCATTTTGACGTCGGTTGTAATTTGGTTCATGTAGTTTGCCTGCAAGTGAGTGTAGTGGAAGAAGTTGTGTTGCTGGCTCTGAAGTTGCGGTGGCCCGTCCTTGGAGTTGGCGTTGCCCGTAGTACCGTAGTTCCAGTGATGTGCAAGTTACTAATTTGAAGTCGCCTGAGTTGTGGATGTCCTGTAAGTTGGAGTTGGGTGGCAGTGGAGTTGCCATGGTCTGCAGTCGTTGGTCAAAACGAGCCTGTAGTTGCGGAAAGTTGTGAACCGGTAGTGGAACCGGTGTGGTAGCCTCCAGGTAGTTGACCTTGCCACCTCGTCCTCCGGAGTTGTAGTCGCACAGGGATCCATGACAGACTCCAGTGACCTAAAAGAAAAAGCGCGGCGACGCAGTAGCGCAAGTGAGCCTGCCAAGAGCTTACCAGTTGCGTCGACACGAATTTCACAGACAGGGATGGAGTGGCAAGACCATGAGGGCCATTCAGGAATGCCCTCATCAGTGCCAGTGGAAATGGTCCGAACTGGGAGTTGCCTCAGAAGATAGAAAAGTATTCGTCAAGTCTTTCCATATCAGCAGAATCCTCCAGACGCCGGAAACAAAGAGCGCGTGCAGGAAGCGACCCTCACAATTCAGAGCTGATGCTGGGAAGTGCGGATTTGCTCTGGTACCATGCTTTCTTGGTGAACATCGACTCCAGGACTGAGAATCCAAACATGTTCACAGAAAAGCGGAAATGCAAGAGACAACAGGAACACGAACGAGTATATTCTAGCTGAAGAGTATCCAACGGTTCGAATGGCACAATGATGAAGAAGACCATGTTATTGGCATTTCCATTTCTGTTGGCTCCGAGCATTCCGGAATTTCTCACCATGATTCTAGGCGTAGTGTTTCTCGATCTCAACCGTGCACATATTTAGAAGCCACAATTTTGGTACCTACGACACCGACTCCAGATGTGCTCGTGCAAAAGTAGCGCGCCTCTTTAACTCTCGGAAGAACCGTTTAACTTAGACAGCTACGCCAAAAACTGTCCAACGTGCTATCGCTGCACTATTCCGCATAACCAAGGCTTTTGCGCCGAGTGATAAAGCCACTCTTTGGCAGCACTCCCTGAACGATGAGTGGAAAGAACTTTGTGTTTGTTTTGTTCCTCGATTGTTCTGTGCTTGGCTCACAGTTTTCCATTCATGAAGCAATCCGCCTGCCATCTTTTGGCTCAAGGCCTGTGCGTTACTTGTAGCTATCTCAGATAGAAAAGCAAGTGCGCTTCGCTGACGGGGGTACATATGTTTCCATCAGGAAACCAAACACTGCTCACACACTTGGTCTTCGACCTTTTCCATTTACAAGCTTCTATCCTGCGTCGGAGTAGATCCTACGAGGTGTATATTCCGGGGCCACTTGGACCCCCCTATCTACAAACTCCACTCCCCCCCTAAGACGAGGGCTAGCAGCCAAAGAAGCAAGGAGCGCTGCTCATGTCCAACACGCCGCCCTGTTGCTGGCGGATTTCGGCCCCAAGCCAAGTCCCGACTTTCTAAGGTGAAAGATGTCCCTGTGAAGCTACACCTCATCGCAGGGGCCACAGGTGGACCATAGATCCAAAGTTTGGCGACAAAGCAGAGGTCCTCGTTCAGAAGGTGGAGATCCTTTGCGGACAGATAGAAATGTTCGCAACCCAGTTCAATGCAATTCTCCGGCCTGCCTCTGGCCTTGCCTCCAGCATGCTCAGGCTGGTACGTGACCACACAGGATCAGCTCGGGCTACTGTGGATGGACGGCTCAAGGAAGCGACATGCGATGAAATGCGATGAAATGCGCGAATAGGCAGTAAGCATAATGGAATCCGAAGACTTATTCTCTGCGGGGTTTGGCATAGGAGTTGCTTCGGATGCGTGAGGCCTGGCCAAAGACCAAGGGATCCGTGCTGGATTTGGTGTGCGTGGCCGCCTCAGCGTGAAATCTTTAAGCGGCTTGTTTTGTGTTCAAGTTGTTTCTTGTTACGAGTTGGTTTGAGTTTAACGAGCTTTTACGAGTTGACAGGTGACAGCGCTTCCTTCTGCGCACGGCCCGCGGCTTCTGATCACCAACAGGCGTGGGCAGGAGGTCGTGGTGCTTGGCAGCTTGCCTCATTGCAGGTGCTTGAGGAAGGTTTTCTACGACACGTCTCTCTAGTGCTTCAGAAACGGGTTGGGGAGGTTCTAGTGGAACCCATTCGATTGATGTGGGGGAGCTGGGAAAGACGATGGAGCGCACTTCATTTGTGGTATCCGCACACGTGCAGCATTGGCATGTGAACCGTGGCATTGACATGTGCGTCGACGGCATGGCTCACATTGCGCGCAGTGAGTGCCTTGTGTCGGACGTTCACGTTGTCTTCAATTCGTTCTAGAGATTTTAGTGCATCGCACAGAGCGCGCCAGAGAATTCAGCAGACATTTTTGCAGCGGGCTGGCCACTTTGTTTCTGTCTCCCCTCGGAGGCAAGGCATGCCTCAATCCCATGAAGATGTCTCGGCCCGAGCTGTGAGGCATCGCCTCGAAAGCGTCATGGATCCTGCAGAGGATATCAGGCAGCTTGGCAACCGGAGTTAGGGAGTCTTCTTGGGATCTCAGGTTATTTGTCGAACCTAAATCTGTCTTGACTGTCAGGAGTATGTCTCAACATCTCGATTTGATCGAGGATGTCATGGGCCAGCCGGGTGCAGAGGCGAGCAAGAGAGGTTTGCAGGTGCAATTTTGAAGGGCGAGAAGCGGGCTGAAGTCTGACTGCTAGGACCTCTCAGAAATGGTTGCGGGACTCTTTAGCGAGTGCAATGTGCTGCGGGAGAGGCTGCAAGATGCAGTCCCTGCGGTGCTCGAGCGGGACGGGTTGGGCGTGCGTCTCGTGCATTCTTCCTTCGCGCACATGCCATTTTGCGAGACATTGTGAGACATGGTGAGACATGGTGAGACATGGTGAGACATGCGACAGGACCAGGGCGGAGACGCTATGTTCAATCAGATCAGCGCCGTTTTGGAGCGCAGCGAGCGGATCCAGGAGCAGTGGAAGGCCCGGGGGCCGTCCGGGTCACCGTCCGGCCCGTCCGGGTCGCTGGGCCTTGCCGGGTCGCTGGGTGCCGGGCCACCCGGGCCGCCCGGGCCGCCGACGCAGTCAGTGCAGTCAGCGCAGTCCGCGCAGTCGCAGTCAGCGCCCTCCGGGCCCTCCGCGCCCTCCGCGCCCTTCGGCTTCGAGGAGAGAAAGAGCGAGAAGAAGAAGAGGAAGGACCCGAAGGACCTGAAGGACGGGAAGGAGGAGGATCGAAGGATCGAGGATAGAGCCGAGGAGTTTGGCTTCCCATCCTTCCCCAGCTCGAGTTGGCCCGAAGAAGCTTTTCCTGAGGCTGCGGCGTGGGGCAATTTCGATGCATGGGGTGAAGACAGTCAGATCGGTGCTCAAGCCGCCCCGGCTGCGGGTGTTTCGGGTGCTTCGGGTGCTCAGGGTGCTCAGGGTGAGAGTGCTCAAAATGCCCCGGGCACAGGCAGTGCCAGCTTTGCGGCTTTCGAGAGCCCGGGCTTTGCCTGGGGAAGTTCTCAGAGCGCGAGAGCGGCGAGTTCCGCGCAGCTTCACATCAGGTGTCCCCACACGGACGTGGAACAAGTCGAGCGCGACCAGAAGACCTTCAAGGAGCTCTTTGTGCGCGCTGCAGCACGAGCTGCCGGAGTTGCGCAGCACAGAATCCGTGTGAATGCGATCCGGGCGGTCTAGACAGAGTGCGTGTTTCGAGAGTGCGTGTTTCACGAGGCGAATCAGAGGTCCCAAAAGCCGACACAAATGAGCTGCGTCGCACATTCAGAGAACCTATGCATCACCCTGAGTCTGAGTGCTGAACATTGGATCAACCCCCAGCACCCGTTTTCGAACACAAGCATGTCGATCTCTGAGCATGCCCCTTTCGAAGGAACAATGGAACAATCGGGGCGAACGTGCCAAAGCAGAACTTAGGGGAAGCACGTGAAGCACGTGAAGATACGTGAAGTATGTTTGAGATGTTTGAGATGTTTGAGTTTTTCAGGTGTCGCAGTGTTGTTTCCGCGCAACCGTGCCTGCCGCTCGTGCGGAGCTCCGCACATGCAGAATGCCCCTCGGCCAGCAATGGACATGGAGACTGCGTCTCAGCCGGGCCCGCTTGAAGTGCCGCCATGCCCTTCACAGGCGTCAGTGTTGAGAAACTTGCATCTCTTTGCCGGAACAGTGATTTCAGCTCTTCAGCCAAGCAACTCGTTTCATTGCGACTTCAGCCAAGCAACTCGTTTCATTGCGACTTCAGCCAAGCAACTCGTTTCATTGCGACTTCAGCCAAGCAACTCGTTTCATTGCGACTTCAGCCAAGCAACTCGTTTCATTGCGACTTCAGTCAAGCAACTCGCTGTGTTGCGACTTCAGCCAAGCAACTCGTTGAACCGCGAATCAGCCAAGCAACTGGTTTTATTGCCGCTTCAGCCAAGCAACTCGTTGTATTGCGTCTGCAGCCAAGCAAGTCGTTTCATTCAGACTTCAGCCAAGCAACTCGTTGAATTGCGACTTCAGCCAAGCAACTCGTTGAAGTGCGACTTCAGCCGAGTTACTGGTTTCATTGCGACTTCAGCCAAGCAACTCGTTGAATTGCGACTTCAGCCAAGCAACTCGCTGTGTTGCGACTTCAGCCAAGCAACTGGTTGAATTGCGAGTCAGCCAAGCAACTCGTTGAATTGCGAATCTGCCAAGGAACTCGTTTCACTGCGACTTGAGCCAAGGAACTCGTTGCGTTGCGACTTCAGCCAAGCAACTCGTTGAATTGCGACTTCAGACAAGCAACTCGTTTCATTGCGGATTCAGCCAAGCAACTCGTTTCATTGCGACATCAGCCAAGCAAGTTGTTGAATTGCGACTTCAGCCAAGCAACTTGTTGAATTGCGACTTCAGCCAAGCAACTCATGTGTCGCGACTTCTGCCAAGATATTCGTTGAATTGCGACTTCAGCCAAGCAACTCGTTTCATTGCGACTTCAGCCAAGCAACTCGTTTCATTGCGTCTTCAGCCAAGGAACTCGTTTCATTGCGACTTCAGCCAAGCAACTCGTTTCATTGCGACTTCAGCCAAGGAACTCGTTTCATTGCGACTTCAGCCAAGCAACTCGTTTCGTTGCGACTTCAGCCAAGCAACTTGATTCTTTGCGACTTCAGCCAAGCAACTTGATTCTTTGCGACTTCAGCCAAGGAACTCATTTCATTGCGACTTCAGCCAAGCAACTCGTTTCATTGCGACTTCAGCTAAGGAACTCATTTCATTGCGACTTTAGTCAAGCAACTCGTTTCATTGCGACTTCAGCCTAGCAACTCGTTTCTGCGACTTCAGTCAAGCAATCGTTTCATTGCGTCTTCAGCATGCTAGAACTAGTTTTCATTGCGCAAGCCAGCCAAAGAATCTCGCTTCGCATCATAAAGCCCTTGCCGCATAACGCTCAGGGAGCTCTCCAGACAGCAACTCGTTTCATTGCGTCCTTCAGCCAAAGCTAGCAACTCGTTTCATTGGTCTTCAGCAAGCAACTCGTTTCATTGCGTCTTAAGCAAGCAACTCGTTTCATTGCGGTCTTCAGCCAAGCAACTCGTTTCATTGCGTCTTCAGCCAAGCAACTCGTTTCATTGCGTCTTCAGCCAAGCAACTCGTTTCATTGCGTCTTCAGCCAAGCAACTCGTTTCATTGCGTCTTCAGCCAAGCAACTCGTTTCGTTGCGTCTTCAGCCAAGCAACTCGTTTCGTTGCGTCTTCAGCCAAGCAACTCGTTTCATTGCGTCTTCAGCCAAGCAACTCGTTTCATTGCGTCTTCAGCCAAGCAACTCGTTTCATTGCGTCTTCAGCCAAGCAACTCGTTTCATTGCGTCTTCAGCCAAGCAACTCGTTTCATTGCGTCTTCAGCCAAGCAACTCGTTTCATTGCGTCTTCAGCCAAGCAACTCGTTTCATTGCGTCTTCAGCCAAGCAACTCGTTTCATTGCGTCTTCAGCCAAGCAACTCGCTTCATTGCGTCTTGAGCAAAGCAACTCGTTTCA